TCAGAAAAGCCCTTTGCCTCTGATGACAGAGATTGCCAGTCTCCAGAGTGATCTGAAGGGGGCAGGCTGGTGAGGAGCCACACGTTTCTCAGCTCACAGTGTGTTCTGTCCCTCATGGTTACCCGGGCCTCTCTGAAAGCACAGTGAGATATCTGCCTAGAATAACCATCCGAACCAAGCTTCGTATATAACGAAGAATGCTCAATTGTGTGCCACATTTACATATTGCACAGTCATTGCATGGTGAGTCACTTTTAAAATGTATTTCTTTGTTAGAGCTCCACAGTTCTTTGTTTATTGCCTGTTTCAAGAGAAGTTGAACTTTGTCATTTTCAGCATTTGATATTTACTTTGGGGGTTCATTTTTCACCAGTTTGTGCCAGACTGAAGTGTTTTGCAATCAGTTTTTGCTCATTCGCTCACAGACCCATGCTTATCTTTTATGGCAGCTCTGAAATGAAAGATCCATTTGTTATCTTTTAATAGCCCTGTGGTTTCATTTTCCAATTTTAAAAAGTACCATTGTTCAAGTGTACACTGACTTTCCTGGATTAAGATCTTGTTCTGGAAATTAGGGGGAAAGTAACGACTGAACACACTGAATGATAGAAAAAGATTCTTTTAATAATAATAATACAACAGTGTTCTGATTCATCACTTCGTCATTTTTCCCAAAGTTTATCATCTAAACTTACCTGAAATACACAGATTTCTATCCCTAGCCTCTCTGCTGTCTGAATCCCTGGGTGAGAGACAGAGCCAAGAGCGAGAGACCTCAAAATCTGAAAGTGCCAAGGTCTCCCCAAAGTTTGAGAAGCGCATGTTGAGGCTGGAGGCTGAGACGGGTCCCGGCTGGGTTCTTGTTGGTGAGTTTGTAACTGGCTGAAGGCTGCGGAGTTGGAGCCTTGCAGCCCTGGCACAGGCTGCTGTGACTATCTGGGAAGTCAGGCTCCAAGCCATTTCCTCCAGACACCCGGCTGCTACTTGATCCATTCTCTCCAAGGAGAGGTGGGAGTTTCCTGTCTGAGTCTGAGGTCTGCCCCAGGGCTTGGCTATAGCTAGCCTAGGTCACTAGAGTGCTTTAGAGCACTCAGTTCTCTTATCTCCTACCAGACCCTAATCCCACAGCCCACTGCTGCAGAACAGTGCCTGGACTACAGGGACGGTGAAGGAGGGAAGGGAAGGGGAGCTACTGGTTGGTGAGTTTTCAGGTGCCTGATGAACCCGACCTGTCCACACATGCTGTTGCTCCTAGGCCCCGGCAGACAAGCAAACCCATCCCTCCTTCCTTACAGACCTAGCCCAGTCAAGGAATTCTTGCCTCTCAACACTGGGACACACCCTCAGAGACCATCAGCATCAACCTGTTCTTATAGCTGTTAAGAAGGAAACAGAGGTCCAGAGAGGCAATGTGACTCGCCTCAGGCCGCTCAGCAAGTGAGTGGCAGAGCCTGGGCTCCAACCCAGTCCTCTGACTCAAACCAGTGCGCATGGCTGGATTGCAGTTCCAGATTTGCTTTGTGGAAGCTGGGGATTTTCCTTTCAGGTTACCACAGGTTCAAGGCTGGGGCAGCCTGTCATCTAGTAAACAGCCCTGGTACTAAAGTCTAGTGAATGGCCGGAAATTAATTCCACAACCTCATGTATGGATAATTTGTTGTCTTTCCCTTTCTGTTGGAGAGTTTTCCCCTTCATGAATTAGTGAAGCACTCCTTACTGAAACACTGTGAAGAGATGTGCTTTGAGCCGCTTGACCATGAAGGCCACTCAGTGGTTTAAAAGCCTGGGCTGCGTCACATAGGCCAGCTTCTAGCCTTGGCTGAGCCACTGTTACCTATATCTGGGTCTCAGTCTCTGTTTGCATTTGTGAATGGGATGAGGATAACAGTACCTAATTCCTAGGATTATTATGAGGATTAAATAAAATCACGCATATTGCCTGATACAGAATAAACACCTATTTGTTGTAGTTAGCTGCTGTCAAGACTCATAGGGACCCCACGCACAATGGAATGAAACACTGCCTGGGGTCCTACGCCATCCCCGTGATCGGTTACAGATCGGATTGTTGTGATCCGTAGGGTTTTCACTGGCTGATTTTCAGAAGTAGATCGCCAGGCCTTTCTTCCTAGTCCATCTTACTCTGGAAGTTCCACTGAAACCTGTTCAGCATCAGAGCAACAAGTGCAAGCCTCCCTGACAGGTAGGTGGGGCTGCTCATAAGGTGCATTGGCTGAGACTCGATCCTGAGTCTCCCTTAGGGAAGGCGAGAATTCTACCACGGTACCCACACCCATAGTTAGCTTTTGTTTCTCTTTTATCAGCCTAAAAGTATTACTTGGTGACTGTGTTGTTTTCTGGTCACAGTATGTTTCTATCATCCAGCTCTAAGGGGCTTACTTACCATACATATTAGTTTTTTTTTTTAATACATTTTTTTTTATTGTGGTAAATATATAGGTAATACATACTAGGTTTTAATTGGATTCCCATAGTAGAGCCTAAGGAGGCAGATTTTAAAATTCCCATTTTCTGGCTAAAAAGCACAATCTCTATGAAGTTAATTTATCTAGACGTCTTCTGCAGGTTTATTTTGGTTAATAAATCTTTTGAAAATGAGTGGGGTTCTATCTTAGAAGGCCCAGAAACTAGGACAGGGTGAGAGTAGAAATTACTGGAATAAGGAGAGTAGCTATTGAGGAGGAGGGAAGGTCAGGGCAAGGAAGGGCAAATCATATTTTGGGAGTCTGAATAGGTTGAGGAAACCCTGGTGGCATAGTGGTTAAGAGCTACAGCTGCTAACCAAAAGGTCGGCAGTTTGAATCCACCAGGCACTCCTTAGAAACTATGGGGCAGTTCTACTCTGCCCTGTAGGGTTGTATGAGTCAGAATTGACTCAACGGCAACAGGTCGGGTCGGTAATGTTGACTAGGTTGAAGAGATGACTCAAACACTCGAGAACAAAAGGCAGATTCGGTTGAGGGTCACTTCTGTGAGTGGGGTGGGGGATAAACAGTTGCTGTCGAGTTGGAATCATGAGGGGACCCTGTGTGTGTTAGAGTAGAATTCTGTTCCATAAGGTTTTCAATGGCTGATTTTTGGGAAGTAAATTGCCAGGTCATCTCTGGGTGAACTTGAACCTCCAACCGTTTGGTTAGCAGCCTAGCACACTAACCATTTATATCACCCAGGGATTCCAGGTTGGGGAATAGGAAACTGGAAATACTTTTATTTAAAAGATTCTATACTGTTTGAATTATTTTTACAATGAGCATGCAAATATTTAAATGTAATTTAACTCTTTTTTCCCTTTTTAAAAGTGGTTGATGGTTGACAAATATCTCTGTATCAAGCAGGAGAAACAAGGTAGCCAGGCCCCAGCCAAGAAGCAGCAAAAGGCTGTCTCCACCTCCACCCCCGCCCCATTCAACCTAGGGCTGGCGGGGGAGGTCGGGCAGTGGGGGAAGCACAGGCATGTCTTCAGCTTGCTCAGACCAGGCTGCTTGGTGGAAAAGGAGGGTCCACATCACACCCCTGACCCAAGTACAAAGGTCAGGAAGGCCAAAAGAGATGGGCACTTGCATGTATTTAACTCTTACTGGGCACCTGATCCTGTGGTAGGCTCATGTAATCTTCACAATAACCCTGAGAAGGTTTTTATTATCCTCATTTTACAGTTAAGGAAACAGAGACTCAGAGAAGTTGAATAAGTAGCCTATGGTCACACAGCTAATAAGGTGGCAGAGCTGGGGTTCAAACCTAGTTCTGTGTAATGCCAAAGTTCTTGATCTTCCCTTGTCTCCAGGCTATTTTCCAACCCCATAATTTTTTTCAGGCTGAACTAGACTCAAGGATAGGATGGGTGAGCTTCTTATGCTTTTATTATTCAAAGTGAACTGTGTAGAACCAAGGGAGATAATTTAATTTTCGTTTCCTGGATATGATGGGGGTGATATTGACATAAGAGCCTAATTTTTATTGAATTATAAATTTCAGCCTCTGCCCATGATAGAAGATACTATCTTCTCCTGCCCCACCTCTCTTTGTGGACTGTGGTTATATCGGATTGGTTGATTTCATACTGTGTTAAATTATATGGACTTGGTTGCATCCCTAAGGTCTGAAAATAAGTGGGGATGACTCTTCTTACTTTTACAGATGGAAAAGCAGAATAGTGCAACACCGAGCAATTAACATATGCTCTGGGCACTGCTCTAAGTACTTTTTGTGTCTTCACTAATTCCTCAGACTAACCCTAGGAAGTAGGTGTACTAACACCAGCTAATAATTTTACATATGTAGAAGCTGAGGCATGGAGGGTCACCCAGCCAGTAAGGGGTAGAGGTGGGTAGAAGCAGGATTCCAACCCCAGTAGCCCAACTCCACAACCCTGCTTACCTCTGTGCTACAAAGCCTGGGCCTTAGCATCAGGGAGAGCTGGTCCCTCTGCATAACCATGGGTGAGTTACTTAACATTTCTGTTCTCTGATTCCTCATCTGTGAAATGAGGAGGATAAAAGTAGCCTGACAGGGCTGCTGTGCTTACTTTTTTTTTTTGGTTCATCCATGTTTAGCAGGTATCCATACTTCATACCTTTTTATTATTGAATAATATTCCATCATATGGATATATATTTTAGTTATGCAAACATTGGTTGACAGATATTTGGGTTGTTTGCATTTTTTGGCTATTATGAGTAATGCTCTGTATGAAATTTTGTGTACAAGTTTTTTGTGTGGACATATGTTTTCAGTTATTTTGGGTCTATTCCTAGAAGTAGAGTTGTGGGTTATATGGCAACTCAGTGTTTCATTTTTTGTGTAACTGCCAAACTGTTTCCCAAAGAAACTGCACCATTTTACATTTTCACTTGCAATGTCTGAGGGTTCCATTTTCTCCACATCCACACCAATACTTGTTATTTTCTCTTTTTTAAAAAATTATAGTTATCCTAGTGGGTGGCACAGTGGTTAAGAGCTCAGGCTGCTAACCAAAAGGTCGGCAGTTCGAATCCACCAGCCGCTCCTTGGAAACCCCACGGGGCAGTTCTACTCTGTCCTGTAGGGTCACTATGAGTCGGAATCAACTCAACGTGATGTACGTACATTTCAGTGATGTTCTGCATATAAAGTTTTCACAGCGGTGCCTGATACATGTTAAGTGCTCAACAAATTTGAGCTGCTGCTGCTGGTGTTAGCATCATTAGGACCTGGAATCCTGGTCTCTGGTGTGGACTTTAAAACCAGACAGACCTGGGTTCTACTCCTGGCTCTGCTTACACAAATAACTTTGTGACCACAGACAAGTCATTTAACCTGAGTCATACTTCTTCATCTGTATAATGGGGATACACAATAATTCTTACCTCAGGCTGCTGTGATTCTTAAATGAGATAATAAACATGTGTCTGACACATAATAAACACTTAATAAAGTTTGGCTATCATTATTATTTCCTTAAGGTGCCCTGGGAAATTAGAGTGGTTTTCAGTCAAAAGACTTAGTCCACTTGGGCTCCTGGAGAATGGAAACACCGGAAGCCCGTGTTAGTTGGGGCTCCCAGGTTTGAGAAGGGCCTGCTGAACTGCTGATGCCCCCATGCCTTCCTTCCTCAGAGCACCCCAGATGGGCACCCCAGCATCTGTGGTGAGTGAGCCGCCCCTGTGGCAGGCCCCAACGGTGGCCTGGGGCCGCAAGCAGGCCGCAGCCAACATCTTCCAGGATGCCGAGCTGCTGCAGATCCAGGGTCTGTTTCAGCGTAGTGGGGACCAGTTGGCTGAGGAACGGGCACAGATTATCTGGGAGTGTGCAGGGGACCATCGTGTGGCGAAGGCCTTAAGACAGCTGCGCAGGAAGAAGACCCCACAGCAGAAGCCCCTGTGCTACTCACTCCATCATTGCAGCCGGCTCAGGTAGGTTCCTGGGACTGGAAGGCTGAGGGAAGAAGAGCGCTAATGATGCCCGCTCCACATTTTCCTGGCTGTGTGACCTCAAGGTAGTTTTAGTACTTACCACTGGGATTCTTGTAAGGTCTACACAGTGCTTACCACTTGGTTGGCACTCAAAAGATTGCTGTTACTACTGGAGTCATATATGGCCCTGTGAACTCCCATACATGTCTTCCTGTGAGAAGGGGTGCCTGGGTCCTAGCAGCACCATCTCATTTTGCAGTGATTCTCAGCCAGCTGGGAGAAAGTATTGTTGGGGTGGGCGGGTGGTTAATTTACCTATTATAGAATGCCAACATCCAAAAATAAGCCTGGCTAAAATCATGGCTGGTGGGGTTACACAGAATATAACAAAGTACTCTAGAGACATGGGTTAAAAATTGTTAACTATGTCTTAAGAAGATAGCATCTCTCCCTAGTCCTCCACCTCTCTGCTTAGGTCACTGACAGCCCAGGTATAGTGAGCCCCAAGGGACTAAGCTGAGCAACCACACGGCCTAAATTGATCACTACAGGTTAGCTCTGGGTTCCATTTCTCCGGCTGTCTTCTCAGGGGCCCACGATCAGAACATTAGTCCTGAGTGCGTCTTCTGAGATCTGGTCCTGGGATGGCTAATCAGCTTCATTACTTGTATCAACTCCAAATGATTAGTAATCACTGCTTAAGGCACCTTGCTAAGAAAGATCCTTGGTCCCTCGGGTCACTTGAGGAGGTAGGAAGTATCACGACTGATTGATTCTGCCGTGAGCACAAGGTAAGGAAGTTAGAGAAATGTTGAATATTGCACACCCTGATAGTCCAACCCTCTTTACAACAGAAGAGTCTGATTTGCCTAAAGTCATACAGCTCTCCAGGGGCAGATGAGACCTGAGCTCTGGCCTCGTTTTGCCAAGAACAGTGCGCTTTATAGTCCACCCTTGCAAAGCCTCTTTCTACCTCATTCTGCCCTCCCTAGTAACGCTGGCCTGTCACATTCATTCCCTGCAGAGTCCCAGAGCCCCGCTCTCCACTGGTCAACCCACAGAGTAGTGCTGCAGAGACAGCCACCAGCGAGCAGTATCTGAACTCTAGGAGGGCAAGTGCCAGGATCCGCCGGAACTGGAGGAAACCAAGCCCTACAAGCTACCTCCACCAGATCAGACACTGATCCATGGAAGGGGCCGAGAATGGCAGTATCTTCCCCAGGAACCACAAGGACTTCTCCCAAAAGGCCTGGGGAGTGGAGAAGGAAGAGAGACTTGAGGCAGTTGGCTCACATGAGTCAACGAAAGGAAGAGACTGCTGCCACTGCTCTGCTCAATTCAGAACAGGACTGGAGGCCTGTTGCATTGGACCCATTCCTCAGCAGACTGAGAAGAAACCCAACAGCTCTGCCTCAGCCCTCCCATTCTTAACATTATACCTGGGCTGCATGATATTCCCCTGGGAGGCATGTGGCCAGCACGCTGACTCAGCATATCACTCCTACTACTAATCCTCCTGCTACTGTAACCCATGATCCAGCAGCCCATCCCACACACCTGCCCCTTGTCAGATCAGCACAAGGACACTGTGGTGCAAGTACCAAATAAAAACATTCGCATCAAGAACTATGTGTCTATCTCACAGAAAGGGGAGGCTTCTGAAACGGAGACTCTGGAGCCAGGGGAAGAAGTGCTCCCAGGAAGAAAACGGGGCTGGCCTCTGCTTCTCATTGCCCAGCCTCACAAGCAGCTGGCTGCAGCCTCCTTTCACAGAGGCCACCAGATTGGGAGGGGAGGTAGGCAGCCCTGATCCACAGGAGCAGATAGGGTTCTTGGTGCCTCAGCTTCAGAAAGGGGAAGGCTATTCCGGTCAGCCCTGTGGTGGGCAGTGGGTTCTTGGGTTGGAAGAGTGCAGTCAAACCCTTCAACTCCATGGGCCCACCAACCATCCTGAGGTCAGGCAACAACCAGACCTACCATTCTTGAGCCTCCTGCACTATCCTAGGGTTCCCACGGCCTGGAAGGGCTTCACGTGAGGATTTTTTACTGCTATCCTGGATTCACTTCAAAAGAAAGATATTCATTAGCATTCAGTTCTCCTCTCCACCCCACCCCCATCCTATCTGCTTGATTATCTGTCACTCAAGAGCCAGGATCCAAAATGCTCCTAGTGGGGCAATGAGGCACATGCAGGGCAGGGCTGCCCTCTTGTGGCCAAGAAGAGAAGCTACTATCTCCTCTAATTACAGGTCCATACTCCGTATCCTACATCCTTCGGGCTAGATGATTTTGGAATTCAGAAGTGTTTTTACTTCGAGGAAGTAGTCAATGTATATACTGTATAATCCTCAGTAGGGGAACATCTCATAACCAAATATGGTAACATTTATGCAACAAATATTCACCCTGAGAGGGACACAATGATTATAAATAGCTTCCCATCATTAGTCAGGCACAGTGGTTAAGAGCTAATGGCTGCTAATCAAAAGGTCGGCAGTTCAAATCCACCAGCTGCTCCTCGGAAACCCAATGAGGCAGTTCTACTCTGTCCTACATAAGTTGGAATCAGCTTCATGGCAACAGGTTTGGGGTTTTTTTTTGGTTTTAAGGTCAGGTTTGGGCGTCGAATTAAGAAAATACTTTTCATTTTCCAGGGCAGGACTCTGAAATTGAGGACCTGTATTTCGCCCTAAAAAAGCCCTGGTGGTGCAAATAGTTAAATGCTCGGCTGCTAACCAAAAGGTTGGTGGCAATCTGCTCCCGTAAAGATTACAGCCTAGGAAACCCTATGGGGCAGTTCTACTCTGTCATATAGGGTCCCTATGGAGTCGGACTTGACTGGATGGCACACAACATTTCCCCCTAAGCCTCAGGAGCCATATCTCAGCAACTCCATAGAAAGCACAGGCTTCTTTTGTCCTTAAAAGTGCATTCAACCCTTTGTCTCCCTTCCCTCGAAGAAAACTGGACAAAATAATATCAGAAATTGGGTTTGTTATTCATACATCTGCATTGATTTAAATACATTACAATTTCTACAGTGCATTAGAAGAACAATACAGGATCAGCAGCACTCACAGCCCAGCCTCCACTCCCTGACACCGGGGGACAGGGCTATGGCTGGCAGAGGGATTGGGTGTCAGAAGTGCCACCCAGAAGCCTGCCCTGGCACTCTGGGCAACTGGCTCCCCCAGAGTCCATATTCAAGGCAAACTGAGTACAGGCTCCAAGGGAGAATGGAGACAGGCCAGGAAAGGATGCCCCGCACTCATGCCTGCCAGGGACCAGGACCAGCACCCTCTCATATTGGACCCAATTTCCTTCTGATCACAGAGCTGGTCTGGATCAGAACAATGTGCACATTTTGCTTGGCTGGGTGAAGCAACCAGGCTCCCCTTTAGACTCCTCAGGCTCTCCCGAGCTCACACATGAAGAGCTTCACCTCTGTGTTTGTGTAAAGATGTCTGCGCAGAGCTGCACACACCTGGGTCTCCCTCAGGCCTCCTGCAGTCTGGGGCAGGCATTCTCTCGAAGGCTTGCAAGGCCAGAGTCTAGGTTGGCTGGATGGGATTGTCAGGGCTAGGGCAGGCAAGGAGCTGCGCCTTCCCCCATAGGGCATGCATATCCAGCTTTTAGAGACTTTTCCTGTCTGCTGGGTGGAAGCCCAGGGCAAGGTGGCTCCTGGAGCTGGATGGAAGGAGATCACCCTGGCCCAGCTGACATGGGCTGCACCTCTCAGCTCTACCTTCTGGATCCCAGGAGCCAGGCAAGCAGAGGGCACACAGCCATGGTCCTCACTCCCTCTCTTTGGTGCTTTTTCAAACCTTCAAGATAGTTTCTTTCCAAGGTTGACTGACCAATTGCAGGGTGCCAGAGCTGGCAAGTGTCCAGTAGCATAGGGCATGAGCACAGCTGCCCCTTAGCCACAGATGACACCCTCTTTAATCCCTCCTGAGGCCATTCTTTGCTTTGGTGTAGAAAGGGCTTGGACACCTGGAAAGAGGGAGCAGCTACAGGAAAAGAATCATGGAAGCAAGAAGATGCACACTGAGCTGGGCAGAGACTGGGGGACGGTTTGAAGGCCACTGTCCTCTGGGCCCTGCCGTTCTTAAGAAGCCATGGAGAAACTGGCCCAGGACAAAGAAGTCAGAGAGCAAAGGGAAGTTGCCAATTAGGAGGCAGAATACAAGTCCCAGCAAATCCATCAAGCAGCAGTGGTTGCATAAAAAAAAAGTCCAAGAATCTAACATTCTGTCCTCTTCTGAGCCAAGATCCACCCCAGAACCCAGAACTGAACCCCTAAGAGTTGGCAAAAACATTTAAAACAAGAGGAATAAACGGACTGAGAAAGTTTATCAGCTAGGGTCAAGGACTCAGGAAACAAGGCAGGGATAAATTCAACCACAGACCACTCACAGCTCCAGGCATACTTAGGCCATGTGGCTCACTTTTACATGCTGGAGAGTCTTCCTATTAAAATATAAATGATAGACGAGCCCCAATCACCTTTGCTTGAGTGATAGGCAAGCTGCAGGCCTGGGCTAGAGATGTTGGATCCCCAGCAGGGCAGAGAGAAGGGAAGGTCTACATGACCATATGTAGAACTGCTGGAGGTCCAGAGCAAAAGTATCCCCCCATAAGAACTGTGTTTGGAGGCTTCCAGTCAGTCTATAGCACTGGTGAGAGGAGAAGGGGAATAAGACTTGGCAAAAACCGAACGGAAAGGTGTGGCTTCTGTCTGACCCAGTGCTGTGAGCCACCTAGTTGGCTCTGACACAGTCTGGCTCATGGGACTAGTGTCTGGGTCCATGCAAATGTAGGTCTGGACTGGAGGTTTCTGATATGACAGGCTCAGGGGTTCTGCCTGGGTTTTGCTACTAGCATTTAATTTTTTGTTTTTGCTTTTTTCTGATGCAGAATATAACCAATAATGAGTAATTGCAGCAGAGCAGGGAAGGAACGGGGTTTCCCAGCCTGCCACCAAGAGATGCTGGAAGGGAGATGCTCCTTCCCAGCATCTAGACTCCTTGCAGGGAGCTCCAGCCTTCCCCAGCACTCAGAAGGGCCCAGGAGCACTACTAATTGTGCTTGTCCCTGTGCTTGGGAAAGCCCTGAGGGGCTGGCGAACAGAGAAGGAGGGCTCTTAAGGGCACTGCTATCCACCAGCTTCTCTGGCTTTTCCTGCAAACTGTTCCCCAGCCTTCCTCCCAGTCCAAGTCTCAGGCATTTCCTCAGCCTGCCTCTAGGGCTACCACCATGAGAAGAAGGGCTTCCGACTCTGAAAGCTCTGCGTGTAGGACTCGCTAGCAGACCGCTGATGGGAACGGGCCGTCTCGACAATCACAGGTGGCATCTGGACGAGGTGCAGGGGACTCTTGTTGTCTTTCAGGGCCTGAGTCAGATTTAGGATCTGCAGTGGGGAAAATGAGATCAGTAAGGGAAAGGCCTAGGGCCTCCAGGTCTGCATCTGAAGGGAGACTGGCAGATGAAGCACTCCTATAAGTCAATAAAAAACAACAACAACAAAAAAAAACCAGTGGAAAATCAGGTCAATCATACAAACTGGCTACTTAAAAGTAGGAATACAGACAGGTAATAAAAAGAAAATGGAATCCTCTCTAGTCATTTTAAAAATAGAAATGAAATCAAAGGCCTACTATTTTTTGCCCTTGCAATTAGTGAAGATACAGAAGAGTGATACTCAGTGTTAGGGAGAGTTAAAGAAATAGGTACTGTTATGAGACTTTAACTTGGGACAGTCTTTGAAAAAGGCAAGTTGAAATAAACATCAAAAGCTTAAAAATGAACAGACCCTCTGACTCAGCAATTCCATTTAGATGGACTAAGGATATAATCATCGATATGCACAAAGCATTTAGTTTCAAAAAATATAATGCAGTGTTGTTTAGGCCAGTGAAAATGACAAATACCTAAGAGTAAAGGATTAGTTGATACTTTAAGGATAAGAAACAAGCAATTAAAATGTATAGAAATAAATTTATTGGCATGGAAAGCTGACCATAATATTGTTGAATGGAAAGAAAGGAGATAATGAACTAGTATTATAATGTGATTATGCTTTGGAAAGGAGCCTGGTGGTGCAGTGGTTAAGCACTCGGCTGTTAACCGAAAGGTCAGCAGTTCGAACCCACTCAGCTGTTCTGCAGGAGAAAGATGTGGCAGTCTGCTTCCGTAAAGATTTACAGCCTTGGAAATCCTACGGGCCAGTTCTACTCTGTCCTATAGGGTCGCTATGAGTTGGAATTCGACTTGATGGCAATGGGTTTTTTTGGGGGGGTTATACATTGGAATAGTAACAATACCTTAAATTTCCTTAGCTCCCTTTGGAAGGTGAAGTAGAAAGAAAAGTAATAGTATGACTAGAACTGTAACAGCAAACATTATAACCATAGCCAATATCTGTGTGTTTACCATGTACCAGGCACTGTTTGCACTAAACACTTGATAAGCACTCTCTCATTTGCCCTCCAGCCGACTCTGCCAATTATTATTACTATCCCATCTTATAAACAAGGAAGCAGAGGCTCTTGCCCAGGGCCACAGAGCTTGTTAAGTGGAGAAGTGATCTGACTCCAGAAGCCAGCTCTTCACCACCAAGCTACCTGCCTTGTGCAACTTGAGGACTGGGTTTAGTTACCAATGAATTATCCATTAACTGGCACTAAGATTAGCACATGCAGATACTTCACAAAGCACTGGGTAACATGGAAGAGATAAGAGATTTGGGGGGGCTACCTTTCCTCTCTCGTGTGTCCTAGCAGTAAAAAATATATACAATAGACTAAAAAGGGCTGCAAAACACGAGCTTTACACACTTGCTCAACATAAGCATATACTTCCCAGACAGATCCCACGGAAGACATCTGGAGGATGTCCCAGGCTTACCTGTCCCCGCATGACAGCAATCTGCTTATGGAACTGGCCCCTGTCAAAACCAGGATCTTTCTGCAAACGAAGAGATGGAGATGGAACCTGTATAAACCCCTCAGAGGAGCCCATCTTCTCCCCTAATTAGAAACTTTCCAATAAAAAAAGGCTTGGAGAAGTTAGCTACCATCCCAAGCTCTCTGTTTCACAGAAGAGGAAACAGAACAAGTAAATACCTTGTCCTGAGTCTCATTACTGCTCTACAGAACTCTAGGCTCCTAGTGCTCCAACTGAAAATGAGAGCTCTGTGAATACATTACAGCCACATGAAGCACAGGATACACACCAGTGCAATCCATCACAGCTGTCAATTTCTTTCAAACCCATCCAAACTAGGTCCTGCTGTCCACATGTGAGAATCCTGCTCTTCATTGAATAAGTCAAGTCAGAAGGGTATCAGCCATCCCCTCTCAGCTTGTATCAGGACCAATTAGAAATACCATTAGGAAATCCTTCTTCTATATGGCAATAAGGCTGAGGTTCCCAGGGCTAACCTTGAAAAGTTCATACAGGTCTTCCTCCAAGTCCTTGACGAAGTTTGGGTCCGAAATTTTTGGAAGAATCAGATCTTTGATCTCTTGAGAGAATGGGACTTTTGCCTGGGGCAACCAGGCCCAGTAAAAAGGATCTGAAAAGGAAAGGCCAAAAGCAAACCTGGTGTTGAAAAGTCCCTGTCCATCTGTGTCCTCTGCCCATTAGGGCACTGCAAGAGACAGAACCCTTCTTTCCCTGATATACAACAGAAAAGAAAACTTACAAGGGCTGTTAACTCTAAAGTTACATTAGTAAATGGAGGGACCAGGATTCAAACCCAGGTCTGCCTAATCCCAGAGCCTGTGCTCTTTCCCAGACAGTACATGAACTTGCAATACCCAGCCTATCTAGAAGCAATTACTTGCCAATAAAACATTGAGATGGTTCTTCAGAAGAGATAGAGTAATGCTGCAAAAGGGGCTAGTTGACCCCCTGCTTATATTTCTCCCCCTTCCCAAAAGTTTCTTAGTTTTAATGGGGTAGGGGCTGGCTTCCAGCATGTTAGCAAGAAGACAGAGCACTGACAGCAGCTTAGCTTTACAGACAAAGAGAATACATTATAATAAGCTAGTCCTCTGAAAGAATAAGAATGGGAAGTGGAGATGAAAAAACAAAACTTTATGTTTCCAATGGGAATAATATAAAGTAAAAATTATAATAGCTTATTGCATCATGGAGTAGTTGCCATGTGCCAGCCATTGTGTTAAAGTGTATAACCAGTATCAATTCTTAGAACAATCCTATGATAGAGGTACTATTATCTCCATTGCACAGATGAGGAAACTGAGACTAAGCAAGAGAAGAGCCAGACCACAGTGGTCTTGAGACTTACACGCCCTCCAGGAGTCAGGATGCTTCAGTGGAAAAGCCAGCCCATTGTCTATGGCAGCCACCTTGATAATAGGCTCCTTTATCACCACCCAGTCTGTGTCCTGAAAAGCAAGGAAAGACTAATTACTTAGGGATTCCATCTATCTCAGGCCCTTTAAAGAAGCAAAGCATCTCATCTCAACTCCCTCAGCCACTCTCCTTATTCAACATATTTTGAGCTACCCTCTGAACTGGTTTCCATACTGGTACCTGACCTTAGTACATTTATGGCACCTCTGACTGGGCTTGTCCAAGGTTATCAGAGTCCCTTTCTCATCTTAGGAAAAGGCATACTGCTCCAGGAGTTGCCACTGCCCTTGATAAGGAGGGAAATGACAACAACAAGAGATAATTACATGCCATTACTCCTAGGGAAAGGCACTGAGAATCCTGAGAGTATGAAAAGAAAAAAAATCAGCGTTGGTTGGTCAAGGTCCTATTGTGTGCACCTTGACTCAGAAGCCACTTCACTGGTGGTGACCACATTTTCCAGTGAGACAACACAACAACCATGGAAGATAACATCTGGCTGCTCTGGTACACAAGGAAGTCTGTTTCCCTGCTTCAGTGATACATAAAAAGGAAAGGCACAAGAGCTGAATGCAAACAGAGTGTGGCAGGTCACATGTGACGGCCTATATCCGGGACTCTCATGCCTCCCCACCTGACTCCATGCTTCAGGTTCATTGGTGCCATCACAGGAATAGGGACTGTGGTTCCAGGACACCCACATCAGAATCCCCCAGGATACCTTATTAAAAATGTGGAATCCTGAGTTGCACCCCAGATCCGATGAATCAGTCTCTGGGGGAAAGGCCTGGAGAATCTGCACTATTTTTAGTAAGCTCTTCAGGTGATTCTGATGCACAAAATTTGAGAATCACTACAGGTAGTCCCCAACTTATGACATATTCAAGTTACGATGAACCACACTTAGGACTGACCATTTTTGTTTCTTTTTTACATTTTATTGTTAGTAATAATATGTACTACATACAACACTGCAGCACATAATTTGCTGATGTTATCATTCTCAAGTCAACCCCCAAAGACAAATAAAGATTGGATTTATAAAGATACTGATAATAAAAGGCAATAACAATTAAAACTGAAAAAACAAATGAGGTATTTGACTTATGTCAGAACTGACTTACAACGGAGTCATCAGAATGAAACCCTGTCGTAAGTTGAGGACTACCTGTGTTAGAAAAGGAGGTAAAAACACTGTAAGGAAAAAAAACCAACCTTACTCTCCTTCTCCAGGAAGTTGTCCCACTAATTTTAAAAACCATGCAGACTAAGCAGCGATAGAGAAGTGTGGTGGAGGATGAAAGGAACAAGAGAGTAAAGCAAGTGGCAGCTTTTTCTAAATAAGCGTTCTGTGGAATTGTGGTCTGTTGTGAGAGAAATGTTCTATGGCCAAAGAAGTTTAGAAATCACTGGGCCAGAGTTAAATAGGTTCATTTAATGCAGTATTTCTCAGACCTTTACTATGCTACTGTGCAATGTGGATCTCCAAGAAACAAATATAGTATGTAATATGTTCCAAACTTACTTGACCTTGTCTTCATGCTACTCCTATTAACCTCAATTAGAAAAGTATTCCCTAACATAGACTGAAGAACTCTAATGTAAATTATGGACTTTAGTAAATAATAATGTATTAATATTGGTTTATCAACTGTAACAAATATACAACAGGAATCCAAGATGTTAATAACAGCAGAACAGCAAGCAAGGGGAGGAGTACACAGGAACTCGCTCTATTTTTTACACAATTTTACTGTAAATCTGAAACTGCTCTAAAAAATAAAGTCAATTGAAAAAGATGATAGCAAATATTAACTCTTCTATCAATTTTAAACACCTGTGCTATCGTGATTCTTCTTAACTTAATGTGACCTAAGTCTCTGACCGTTAATACGCTTCCATATTATACAGATACCCTTCTTCAAGATATAGATCAGCCTCTTACCCGAGAGCTTGAACTATCCATTGGGCAGTCATATTTAATCAGCCAGTTGTCATTTCCTCGATCTGTGGACAGAAACAAAGTTAGCAGAGAAAACGGGGGTGACTTCCACTTCCAGTTAATGATGGACTAGTTATTTTGGATGCCTGGACCAACTCTTCTACTGAGAACAATTTTTAACAAAACCATGAAGAATTACAGTGTTAGGATCTGGGAAAGGAAGGAACTCCAGAGAGGGGAGTCCAGCATTTGTGGCTTATTTTCCCCTAGAGCACCTGCTGATTTGAAAAGAGGTGGAGGCTGAGAGGTGAAACAGTAGTCTAACAGCCTTGTGGAACTAGAGAGACAAAAATTGTAGTCTAGTGCCTATTAAGCAGGAGGGGAGCCTGGTAAATCACCCACGCTCTGGGTTGATACCTGAAGGGCTATAACCTGAAAGTAAGTCCAGCTTCCCCTCAATACCTGAAATTAGATTAAAGTGATCCTAGATTGCTGTTGTCCTTAGCTGCTTGAGAAAAGTAAATATCTTTCTCAGATCGGATTTATATTAGCACCCTAGCCTCCAAATATTTCTACAATTTTTGATATACAGTACCTGACAAAAATAATCAGGCACAGAAAGACACAAGATGACAGATGAATGAAAAAGACAAACAATAGAATATTAAAACAGAACCACAGGGGCTCCAAATGATGGAAATATCTAATACAAACTTTAAAATGTTCAAGAAGATAAAAGGCAAGATTAAGAGCATCAGCAGAAAACAGGAATCTATAAAAAAAAGAATCAAGTAGGAATTCTAGAACTGAAAAATACAATAACCAAAATTAAGAACTCAATAGATAAGTTTAACAGTAAATCATACTAGAAAAGGAGTGATTTGGAAGACAGGTTAGAAAAAAATAGCAGAATGAAGCACATGGTGGGGGGGAGAAGGTATAAATGGATGTAACATATTTTTAAGCAAACCATGCATGCCTTCTGTGTTTGTTTGCCAGCCACACCTCCCCCCCGGGAGGTATTTTCATGTTGCTGAAGAAAAAATTAGCATAGTGCACTTAAAAAAACACAAGGGGAGGGCACAGCTGGCAAACAAATGTAGAAGGTGCATGTTATTTGCATCAAAATATGGTATATCTAATATATGTGTAGCTGGAATCCCAGAAGAGGAGGAGAAGAAAATGATACTTAATATATGAAGAAATAATAGCTGAGAATTTTCCAAAACTGACAAATGATTACAAACTACAGATTCAAGGAGCCCTGTTAATCCCTAATAGGATAAATACAAAGAAAACTTGTACCTGGGCATAGCACAGCAAAACCGTTGAAAACCGAAGAGGGAAAATTTTAAAGGGAGCAAGAGAAAAATAAACAGATTACTTCAAAGAAGCAACAACAGATGGAAAACTGACTTCTCAACAGAAACCATGGAAGCAGGGAAGACAATGGAATACTTTTTCCCCAAAACTGCTGAAAGAAAATAACTGCCAACTCTGAAATTCTATACTCAGCAAAAATATCCTTCCAAAAAAAAGGGGAAAAAAAGACATTTTCAGGTAGACAAAAACAGAGAATTCATCACCGGCAAACCAGTACTAACATATTCTCTACGTCAAAGGAACACAATCTCAGATAGAAGTTTGGAGAAGCAAAAAGGAATTTTTAAATAAAATGGGTAAATACATTAGTAAATCTAAATAAATATTGTTAATTTTGTTAAGGTGTGATAGTAGTATATTGTCTTTTTTAAGAGTTCTTACCTTTTATAGATACATAATGAAATAATTATGAATGAATTATGAAATTATATCATATGTGAGACTTGCATTAAAATAATAAAGGAGACGGGTAAGTAAAAAGGAGGTGTGAATGGGGCAGGTTGGCCATTGATCAATGGTGGTTGTTGGGGCTAGGATGACAGGTAAACAAGGGTTCACTATTCTGCTTATTTGTGTATGTTCAAAATTCTCCACAATAAAAAGTTTATTAATAACACTAATAATGACAACAACATTATTTCATGGAGTTTTATATATGTGTGTGTATGTGTGTGTGTGTGTGTGTGTTATACAAGTATATATGTATATATGTGCATATGTACATGTATATATGTATAAATAAACTTGTCCACTAGGAGGTCCTAGAAGCAATGATACCCCAGTAACAATGAGCACATCTGGCATTTGGATCTTGGCTTCTAAATACCACTGCCCAATAAGAGGAACCAGGGCTCCTTGGAGAAATGGCTGATTCCAGGGCTGGGACTAGAAAAGTACAAGGTAAACCTGGATTATTTTATGACAGAAAGTAAGAAAGTGCTCAAAGAATGATGAGGACATGCCAAAATGACATAGAGTAAGATTAAAAGGGTTTTCACTGGCCAAATCTGGAATAATTTGAGCATCAAAATAAATAATGACAGTAAGTAATTATACCTTATTAAGTAAAATAAGAATCTATGAGTCCATACTGATATATATATAAATAAATGAATGGGGGTGGGTGGGGAGGAAAGCCCCTCCTTACAGTAGAACATCAACTAATAAATGTAGAAGGAATGACATAGTTAGGAAAACATCACCATTTGGCACCCATCATAGTAATAACTGATTCAGGCAAGAATCATCAACAGATGCCAAAACCAGTGGATTAAAGTGTGAATAACAGGATATTTACATAGTCTCAAAGTATCTCCCCCACAAAGGAACAAATAGTAAGTAACTTTACAGTAAAGAAAAATCTAACAGATACCACATTAACCAAAGTTAACATTACCAGTAATGGGACATTATGTGTCTTTTGATATGATACACCGAAAATGAAGTATCACTTCTATTCCTGCCAAAACCAGCATAACCCAAACATAATAATGAGGAAACATCAGACAAACTCAAATTGGGAGAGATTCTAAAAAAATTATTGGTCTGTACTCTAAAAATGTCAATATCATGCAAGACCAAGAAAGACTGAGGAATTGTTCCAGATCAAAAAAAAAAAAAAAAAAGCTAAAGAGATTACAATTGAATGTAACATGTGATCCAGAATTTTCTTTTGCTGTGAGGATATTATGAGGAAAATTGGCAAAATCTGAATATGGTCTATAGGTTAGATAGATAATAGCATTGTATCAATGTTAATTTCCTGAATTTTTTAACTGTACTGTTGTTGTGTAAAAGAATATCTTTGTTTTTAGGAAATACATACATGAAAGTATTTAGGGATAAAGAGGTAACCTTTCTACAATTTACTCTCAAATTGTTAAGGAAAAAAATACATGGACACATATACACAGACGTGTGTGTGAGTGTATCAATACATATATATATACACACACATACATAAATACGTACCTCTCTGATAAGAGAATGATAAAGCAAGTGTACTAAAATGCTAACATTTAGGGAACCTGAGTGAAGAATACATGGAAATTCTTTATATTATTCCTGCAATGCTTCTATTACTCTGAAATTACGTCAGAATAAAAGTACAAACCCAAATTTGACAAGTCTTTAGACCTAGCTATCCACTTACAAGAAACAGAGGGGATGAAGAGCATGTTAAATAACACCAAAGGGATATAAATAGGCCAAATGCAGAATGTGGAAATTCTACAGGGCAAATAACCCAGTTTCTTCAACAAATAAAACGCAAGGAAAAAAAAAAAGAGGTAGAACTTTCTAAAATTAAGACACTTAAGAAACATATTACCAAATGTAATATCTAGACCTTGTTTGGATCATGATTTGAACAAATCAACTGTATAAAAACATTTCAGAGTCAACTGGGGAAATTTGAACACATAGGACATTAGATGGTGGTTATACTAAAAAAAAGTCTTTTTCTCTTAGAGAACATATTGCAGCATTTCTAGATAGGATGATATGATGTCTGGGATTTGCTTTAGAACAATCCAGCAGGAAATGGGGACAGCAGCGAGTGGGGCCTTATGTACTAAATGTTCAAGCTGGTAACAAGTACATAGGTAATAAGTACACCACTCTCTCTACCTTTATATACGTTTAAAATTCTCCATAATATACAGCTACAAATATTCTTTTAAATAACCTATGAGTCAAAGAAGAAAGCACAATGAAAGTTAGAAAATATTTTGAACTGATTACAATGAAAAAAGTTTGTAGGATGCAGCTAAGCTATGCTTAAAATGAAAGTTAAGCCTTAAAATATATATACTAGAAAAAGAGAAAGGCTAAAAATTGATGACCTAAGCATCTGCCTCAAGATATTAGAAAAAGAATGATGTGACATCAAAGTCTTGTCATTCTTGACATTCTTGTGACATCAAGTCACAACAATGACTGGGGATCAAGGATAAGACTACTTTTCACAGAGCTCTGGAAGAGCCAAGTGTCTTTTGTCTGGGACCAGGAAAGAGGGTAAGATAAATACAAATACTTGTTCCCGTCCTCACCACCTCTGATAAGGACACATGATATGGCTTGACATGGGAATGTATTCTCTCAGACCCTCCCCAGATGTGCACAACCACTCTGATTAGAAAAACCTCATCCTGGTAAGATACTCTGATTCCCAAACCCTGCAAGCCTCCCGGCCTCCCTCCCCCATGCCTCTACCATCTGGCACAGGGCAAGGGACCACCTACAGCTGCTCACCAGTGTTGCGGATGATGTAATCCAGCACCACCAACCGCTCAAACTGCAGCAGTAGTTGCCGGTTAGTGTTCTCAGGGAGTGGTTCTGCTTCAAAACGCCGCAGCCAGTAGTCTGCATCTTTGTAGCCTTCAACAAAGAGCTGGAATGAACCGACCTGGAACCAAGAGTTAGGAACAAAGGTATTTCCCTACAGCCCGAGTCCAAAGACCCCTGGAATAAGTCAGGTACCCACCAAGGCCCTGTGGAGTTTATATTAGAGAAGAGGACTTTTTCAAAATCTTCACTTCCTAGCAGGTACAGGAGAAAAGAGTGTGACAATGATTGCCCGTACAAATTCAAGAAGCCCATCCAAATCGCTCAGAGGAGTAAAATGAGAAAGTTAGGGTCTTTTACTCTCTGGAGAAATATTCTCCAAACCTCAGATCCTTGACAGAAATGACGAAGACAGGAGCCTCAGGGCAGGCTATTCACATACCATTTGTGAGTCTACAGGCATCTTGCTTCACCATTTGGATCACTATGCCACTAAAATCATCACACGTCACCTCTGATAAGCCACATAGGTTCAGAACCTCAGTCTATACCTTTGGCGGTAGCCCAATGCGGTTAAATCTCTGCCCAACTTTTGGCACTTTCTCTAGCGCAAGCCGCTTGCCCCTGGACTTCACTCGGTCAATGGCACTATAGTTGAAGGTCTCACTGGCCAGGTATACTACCTATAGCAGAAAGAGAAGAGATATCCAGGTTAGAATCAAGTTTAAGGAATCAGACCACTATGGCAGAGAACAGCTAGATGCTCACCAACTCTATTCCTCTTCCAGAGCACACAAAAAGAATGCACTCTCAGCCTTCCTAGTAGCTAGGATAGGGTATATGACCAGTTTAGGCCAATGGAATGCAGATGAAGTGCTGTATGCACACTACTTCCAGACCTGGTCCCAAACATCCCCCACATGGCCCTTAGTTCATATTCTCCAATCTGTGCAGCTGGAAATGATGGGTCCTGAGATGGCAGAGACACATCACGGAAGGAACCTAGACCTCCTGTCACTACATGGAGAGCTGCCTAACTAGCATGGGTCTGTGACATGAGCAAGAAATGAACTCTTACTGTGTTAAACCACTGAGATTCAGGGGTTGCTACAGCAGCCAGAGTGAAATACCCTACTACGGCCACCTCCTGGGTTAGGAGGTGATGGCCCAATCCCTGCCCATGAGACGGCCTGTCTAAGGGAGGCATATCTTTCTCTCCATATACAAACAGACTGTGCGGTTGAGACTGGAGGACTCCCCGAGACTACTGCCCTGAGATACTCTTTAAACCTTGAACTGAAATAAGCCCTTGAGGTCACCTTTTAGCTAAATAATAGATTGGCTCACAAAATAAAGAATATCACTATGAGTACTGTGCTCCTTTAAAAAATTATGAGTGAGACCAAATGGTCAACAATTACTTTAAAACAAAGATGAGAAGGTAAAGGGACAGGGAAACTAGATTAATGGAAACGGAACAACCAGAATGGAAATAATGAGAATGTTCACACATTGTGAAGAATGTAACCAAGGTCATTGAAAAACGTGAAATTGTTGAATGGGAACCTAAACTGCTGTATAAACCTTCCAATGAAAACACAATATCATTAAAAAACGAAACAAAACAGATTGTAATTTACTCTATATCTTTTTATTTACTTCTGAATTTTTTTACTATGTGTAAATATTCATATTTTAAAAAATAAACAGACATAAGAATTGGTTTTAATTTTTAATATATTGCTATATATATGCATATTTACACAGAGAATATATCTGGAATATTACACAAGAAACTAGTAATAACAGCTGTCTCTGAGGAAGGAAACTGAGTGTCTGGGAGACAGGTAGGAGGGAAGCTGAATTAATTTTCTGTTTACTCTTCTGTGTCTTATTTTTGCACTGTTTGCATGCACTGCCTATTCAAAAAAATTTTTAATTAGCCATCAGTATTACACTTGATTGTCAAATTGCAGTGACATCACTGTAATCTGTATATGTATCTACTACCACATTTATCATATTGTCTTGTGATTATCTATCTGTATGTCTAACTTCTCTCTTAAGACTAATGAGATTTGGGGAGGCAGAAAACATCTTATTCACATCCCCAGCACCTACCACAGTGTCTGGCACATGTTCATTAAATGTTTAATGAATGAATGGATGAGTTACAAGCCTCTTTCAGAGATAGCAACAAGTGGGTTTTACCATATACATACCTAAGATCAAATTTACAGTATAATTCTTCCTTTTCCTAAGCCTTGCAAAATTCATTACAAATGAGTAATTATTTTGCCCATGAACCTTGGAGGCAGATAGTTCAAATAATTCCATCCATCCATCTAGTGTTAAGAGTCTCAAAATGGATGTGCAAAGTACTGTAGTGGGCACTCCCACCTTACAACATCAGGAAACTCTGCCATAGCAATGAAGGAAGAAAGGGTTTTCCTAAGGCAAACCCATTCCATAGAGAAAACCTTGGCTCTCTCAAACCAACGTAAGCCATAAACCACCCTTTTCCCCATGAGATTTACTTTTGATCACTTTTTGTAACAAACAACCTTTTCCCTTGTAAGTAATGAAACCACAATAACCTGGAACCTCACAGGAACAGGGAGAAAGGCTGCTAGCAAGTAAGAATTAGAGCCTTACTATTTGAAGTTCCATTGCAAGTGAGCCCCGTTTCCATAGTGACAGATGCTCTGATCAACTGGACAGAATCCTGTCACAAGGGTCAGGGAGGCAGAGAGGGGACAGCCTTCCTCTCACTATCCTCCAGCAGCTGTATCTAACATGCAAAGTTCTGTCTCATCTCAGTCCCATAGAAGATACGTGTTTTTGTTGTTGCTGACTTTTTGATGCAAAAGATCCTCAGGTCTCATTAAGGTCCTCTAATAGGGAGAAAGGAAGACCAGAGATGGGGAAGAAGGGGATTGTGGGGTGACATTCATGATTAGAATAGCTCATAACAATACAGGCTAACACGTATGGAGCATTTACATTGTGCCAGGCACTGTGCTACATACATGCTTTACATGTGTTGTTTCGTGTAATCTTGATAATCACCCTATAAAATAGGAACTATTTATATTCTTATTTTTCACAGTGAGGAAACTAAGTATAGGAGGGTTCCAGTGACTCACACAATGGTCACCCAAATAAAAAGCTGCTGATCCAGAATTCAAACTCAAGCCCTCTAATTCTTAGGCACTGAACTCCAGAAGCCTGGTCAGAGCAGGCAGGCACAGGGCCAGGGGCAGTCTGATATCCGCCTAGCAAAAGAAGGAAATTACACCGTGATGAGCAAAGAGTATTTAAAAGTTTTCAGAGTCTAGGAGTAGCCTAAGAGGAGGATTTTAGGTTAGGCAGGAGATCTTAGCAGCATTAATTATCACACAAGATGTCCAAAGTGTTCTGTTTTAACTACCTGCATGAACAGAGAAAACTAAAGCATGAAGGGAAGGAATGAGGTACTCAAGGCCACGCAGTGAATTAGAAGTCAAATGGGAACTGCGAGCCAGCCAAATATTCTCTCCATAGACCTGTGATGCTGGGCAATCATTGGAATAGCTTCTCATGATGTGATATTCACTCACTGGTTCAGCTGGTACTTACTGAATGTTTACTATTAGTACCTTGCTAGGTGCTGAGAATGGGAAAAAGAAATTTCAAGAAACGGTTCCTGACTTCTACAAACTTACACACTAGTTGACTTACTATTGGGAGTTCAGTGGCAAAGGAGTAGACACAAACATCTACTATATCACATTCTCTTCTAAAATACCCTGAAAAAAGAAAAACAGGTTTGAAGGGAAGTTGCTGTCTGCTGATCAATCTCTTTGCCCTCAGAGTCTGCATCCTAAAACTGCAAAGAAAACTTCAAGCAGAGGTTTTTAATCTAGAGGCCATGGTCCTTAGGGGGTCAACGATAGACTTCAGCTAGAGTATGAACCACCCTCCTGAAATTATACATGCAAAACCATGATTGTAAATATGTGTGTTTTCTTCGGGGAACAGGATTTATACGTTTCATCAGATTCTCAAAAAGGGTCAAGACCCCGATACCCTGTCTGGAGCTACAGAGATGCCCCTACAGCCTTAGGGCACCAAATCAGAGTTCCACCTTCAGTTGTTACTAAACCTCAGGTATCCACATACTCAGTGGGTGATGACATGTCCTTAAATGTTCATATGCTGACCAGCAGATTCCTTCCCCTCATAACCCTTGGAAAGTTTCACGAATCAAAGGGAATATCTTGTATACAGTATAGGGGTCCTCAACCTGGGATCAGCAAATTCCCTGAAAGTGAATGCAACTCAATTCTGTATTTAAACACATTTTTCTGGGGGGATGGTCCAAACACTGAACACAACCTCAACTGAGTCTATAACACAAAGTTAAGATTCTAACTGTGAATGTAAAAATTGCATGGTGGAGGCGTCTAAACTCTTAACTTCACAACGGGTAGAGAGAATCACCATCAGCATCAGCCCAAGGCTGATTCCTACAAAGCGGAGGTTAGACATACCTCCCCTCTCCAACCTTTTTATCAATTCTGACACCAGCCATCCCTCCCACGGCACTCTCTACTTCTCTGCTGGGTTCAATAATTTCTTGCAATGGCCACACAGAACTCACAGACAATACTCATGATTTTGGGGTTTATTAGGGAAGTAACAGGTTACAATTTAGGATCAGGAACCACACAGGATATAGCTCTTCAGTCAGGACAGCTTCTCAGCCACGCCCATAGGCAGGCCTCTCCCTGGCCCTTGGCCTCTCAGCCCCTTGGCCCCTTGGGACTCTTGGGCTGGCCTGGCCTCTGCCCTGCTCGGGCAAGTGTTACAAAACTCTTTAGCTCTACCGATAAGTGCCCAGAGGTGCCCCTCTCCACCAATAATCCTCAGCTCAAAGGTGCTCAGCTCTCTAGCTCCAGAAGTCAGCAAGCCTAGCTCTGCCAACAAATGCCTGGAGGCACCCCACTCTGCCAGCAAGCATCCTCCTGAAGGCACTTAGCTTTCCTGCTCTGTGGGCTGGGAAGCCCACCCCACCATCTCCTGCCGGTCTCCTGCTTCTGCTGCCTCTGCTGCTGCCATTTCTCCGCCGCTGCTTCTCACTGTTTCTCACCATCTTCAATAAAATAGCTCTCTCTGTCTCCTGGGTCTAGGAGGTTCTCAGTGCAACAACCCCAGGTCCAAAGGACACGCTCCACTCCTAGCTCTTCTTTCTTGCTGGTAGTGAGGTCTCCCCTGTCCACCTCTGGAATGGCTCATTTTAAGCCTAGTGGGATGGCAAAACTGACCAATCCCTTCATTAGGGTTCCATACACCTTATTTGCATTGCCCCACCCCCACAAGGGTGCCATGCACCTTATCTGCATTATTAGCAAGCTATCCAATCCCCCTGGTGGGCCATGAGCACCTCATTTGCAGTTATTTGGTGGGAATTACGAGACCATGGCAGAAAGGCCATATAAAAGCGATCCATCACACCACAGTGGATCTGCCTGGAAATAGGACCCCTATTTTGATATGTTCAGACAAGTCCCAGAATTCCACAGATTAGGATGGGTGAAGAGAATTCCATGCCAGCTCCCTGTAGGAGTTCAGGCCCGACCTTCACTCTAACCTGAAGCCCATCCTAGAATCTTCCTTGCCAGAACCTTGCTTGAGTGCTTAGCTGACATCAGCTAGTTCACTCTAGACTGTATCTAAACGCTGGATTGACTCAGAAGTCCAAGAAAGCAACCCATAAAAGTATCTATGTTTCTAACCAGCTTGGGGTTATCTGGGTTCTAAAGATCCAGGGAACGCACAGATGAGCATCAGAGGGTCTATGAACGCCCTGAAATCATATGCAAATATTTTATACGTATCCTTCTGGGGATAGCTTTCATCAGATGATCAAATCATGAGCCTAATTTTCTTCTTCCACCAAAGAAAAAGGTTAAGAACCTCAGATTTGGCATAAATAGCCCTCACTGGACCTAATGTTCCCGCTAACATGTACCAGGGCTTAGGGCCCAGGAAAACTCTGGCCAGGCAATAAGGCTCCCTAGAAATGAGTCACTTACCTTTGTACGGGGCACAATGTTGAGTTCCAGTTTTTGGTCCACCAGGCTAGCCCCTGCCTCTGAGAGATATCCCTGGTTGAGGACAAGGCAGTCACGGCCAAAGCAGCAGGGACAGCATAGTTTCTGCAGCCACTTGGTCCACTTAGGATTAAGCTGCCCATATGGCTCTTCATTCTTGGGTTTGAAGACAGCAACGATCTTCTACAGAGATAACAGAAGAAGGAGAAGTTAAAGGCAAGTTGAATGAAGTAGACCCAAGACTGAGTCAGCAGGAATTTAGAAGGAAAAGAGAGGGCATAGGCAGAAAATTCTCACTTACACTCAGACAGAGGATTCTCCCCAGCTGGTAAGGGAAAGACATCAGGTCATATGTGCAGGTAAGAGACCCACTGCTAGAAAGAGCTGTGACCTAAGAAGGTCCGAAGTCTCCTTGTTCTTCCTTGCTGCTTTACTTCTCCATCTCTCTTCCCTCATATCAGTACCTATTAACTTTGTGCTTCTAACAAACAAGGTAAATGGATTTCTACATTTCTAGAAGCAAGATACAAAAGCCAACTCAGTGGCAGATCTAGAGTCACTGGCAGCAATCTTATGCCAATACAATGCTGCTTCCTGCCTCCCGGAAAGGTGATAGCATCACATTGAAAGTATGGCGGGCTCTAAAGTCATCTTTTAAACAGTAAAGAATTAACTTACTTAATCATGGATCATATATTGTGTGCATGTGTGTGTGTTCTCACCCCGTTTACCCGACAGGACCTTATATTGTATGCCAAAAGTTTAACACCATCAAACCAACTCCCAAGGTTGGCAGGTACAAACATACATATTGTTGCTTTAAATCAATTACGTACAGACTCAAAAATTACCAGCTGAAAGGAAATAAAAGAGGTATTATGGAATGAGGTTAAGAAAATTCTTTCATCAATGACTGATTTCCTCTATCAGTCTTACTATCCCTCTGGGTGTTAACAAGACCTTGAAATAAAAAGTTTAGGAATGACAAACTAAGAAAGCAACCGGTGAAAAAAATCAAAGCAGGAAAAAGAATGTGCTACCTGGCTAGAATGGGGTTCTCTTAAGTAATCCTGACATGCAAGAGACCAGGACATGAGATGCCCCAAAGATTAAATTCACCTTCTTTAGCTGACAGTAACTTAATGCTCAAAGGTCCTTGGAAATATGGGAAGCTGCTGCAACCTAGAACTATGGCCTTCCCTCCTGAAGGTTTCCCTCCCCAGATCAGTAAGCCTCTGAGGGTGTTTTAAATTTATTTCATTCCCTCCAGTCCCCCAAGCTAGTGATTCAAAGGAAGAAAAGTAAATATACAACCCAAGTGATTCATCTTCCTATCATATGACTCTCCCTCTCTCCTCACCCCATAGCCAACGCAAGCTAGTCTGGGTCACAGGATATTATTCTGTCAATGTCACTTCCTGAATAGCAGGTCGTAGCTGAAAACATACACTCATCTGCCTGCATTAAGCAAGGGCTCATTAGGAATTGGCAAGGTGGATGTCTTTAACAATAACTGGTTAATCTTGAAGCTGGTTACTTCAAGAAGCCTTGCAAAGATTTGAGAGGGCCAAGAGAAATACTGAACTCCCCTCCTCCCTACAAAAAGAATAAATTTATTCTTAAAGACAAATAAACTGATTTATTCACTGGAAAAAGTAAAATGCATACATTCATATCATAAGTCTTCAGAATTATTTTCTTATCCAAAGAAGCTATCAAGAGGCCTATGTTAACAATCTTCCTGCCTCTGCTCCCCTGGAGTCCCAGGTTCCAGCAACACAGCAGCAGTAACAAAGGGCTTGCCACTCAGAGAATGACTGATGAGTTCACTATAACTCTGTAAAACCACACGGCAACACAAGTGAGGCATATCCCAGAACCTAAGAGTCAGTTTAACTGAAGCACAATGTGTTCAGTAAGCTAGTCCCCGACAAAAAGGAGACCAAGACATTCCTACTACTAGCAATGGCTGAAAAATACCCGGGCTGAGGCTTAAACATTTCCACTTATAGAAAGCAGAACTTGATGAGAGGTTGGTCATTTATAGACTAATCTCTCACACGTCTCAATTTCGTCCCACCACAAGGAGCATTTCATTAACTCTAAAAGCATTAGTGATCATGGTTACTAAGGCATCTCAGTATTACAGGGGTTTCATTAAAGAACACTGTCTGGACTGGACAGATAGAGGAACAGTAGTGTGGGAAGCATGGAGGAAACGGTGGTACCAGAATGTTTAAAGAGGACAGGTTCACAGCTGGCAATCTGTTGATGGGAAGGAAAGAGGAACAGGGTTAAGGAACTTGTTTTAAAGCTAAATTTGCACAGTAAGCACCGTTTTTACTTAGACTGCTATTTGGGAGGATTAAAGCCCATCCATGTCACCGCTTGGTGAAACCACTGAGAGGAAGAAAGAGACAAACAACAAGTGTCCTTCAGGGCTAAGTTTAGACCTCAGTTCGATTCAATCCCATTAATATTTGCTCTGTCTCTAGTTCGCACAGTGTGAAAACACTCTGCAGGTTTCCAAAATAGATAGCCTCTGGCCTAATTTCCAAAGCTAATGCTCACTTCATGTAATCAATTGTATTAATGAATAATCAAGAATACTCTCCTTGGCTTAGGGTTATGGTTTCGTGGGAGATTCCAGTCAATTGAGCTAGTATTGATTTTGGTGCTTCTTTCTAACTCCTGGTTTATTCCATAGTGCCTGGGGTCTTAAAAGCTTGGGGGCAGCCATCCAAGGTATAACAATTGGTCTCTGTTTGCTGGGAGCACCAGAGGAAGGAGGGTTAGGAATCGGTAGAGGAAATCGAATATATGTCCATGCCTCCATGAACAACTGCCTCCTTTGCCAAGAGACCAGAACTGGATGATGCCTGGCTATCATTACTGAACAGTTAGATCAAGAATTCTACAGATGAATCAAGAAGATCAAAAGGGGGGAAATGAGGAACAGAATTTCATATTCTCATGGAATCCAGACTTTCTGGAACCATTGAGGCTGGAAGATCCCCTGAAACTATTACCCCGAAGATTCTTAGCAATACGGACACCTAATCTTACTGGCTTCACAAAACAGAAAATGCTAAAAAATACTTCTGTAAGTGAGTGAGCATGAGAGACCTCAAGTGCAGGGATGTATGTGAGGAGGAGTAATTGGAGCACTCTCCATCATGACTTCTGATCTAGCATTTTCCATCTCACTATTCCAAGTCCCCACTTGCTTACCCCAAGAAAGAAACCATCCTAAATTGGAAGATAGAAGCTCCAAAAGTAGCCATGGCAAAAACTGCTGGTTTCCCCCAACCTCTGTTCTCCGTTCTTCCATGGACAGAGGATCCCTGATTTTTAGCTGGGTATAACAGACTACAGTTACCAGCGACCATCACAGCTATGTCTGGACAATGGGATATAAGCAGAGGGTCTGATGCAATTTCTAGGAAGTGTCCTTAAAGGGAGGGGGCATGTCCTCCATTTTCCTTTCTTCTCCCAACTGAATGAAAAGCAGACAAGACGTCTGCAGCTTGAGCAGCCATCTTGGATCACGAGGTAGAAGTTGCATGCTAAGGATGGCTGACCCGCTTTATAGAAGGAGCCGGCATCCCTGATCAAGTGAAATTCCATGCCAGCCCTGAACAGACTGTAGTCTTCTTTTACATGAGCAATAAATGAACTTTTATTCAAACCATTATTATTTTAGATATTCTGTCACACATAGCCAAGCTGAATCCTAACCAATACAGTAGATGGAAGGAGAAGCCAGTAATTTAGATGACCAACTAACTTTCTGAGGCAGCAAGGCAGAGTGGTTAGGAGCATGAACTCTGAAGCCAGACCACTTGGGTCCAAATCCTGCCTCTACCACTTACTCTCTGTGAGACTGTGGTAAATTGCTTATATGCTCTGTGCCTCAGTATAATGATCCATAAAATGGGAATAATAATTAAGTACCCACCTTGGAGGGTAGTTATGAGGGTTAAATGAGTTATTATTTATGAAGCACTTAAAACAGTACCTGGCATATAGCGCAAGTGGTTTGGAAATGGCTGCTAGTCTCAAGGTTGGTGGTTCGAACTCACCCAGTCACTCAACAGAAAAAAGGCTTGGCGAACTGCTTCCATAAAGATTACAGCCAAAAAAACTCTATGGAGCAGTTCTACTCTGCAACACATGGAGTCGCCATGAGTCAAGGGCCAACTCAACAGCAGCTAACAATGACAACGTATTAGTATTTGTTAAATAAGATAAATAAAACATTTGGAGCCGGACCAAAGATGACAATACCAACTAGAGTGAGTCTGTGGACCAGTATGACCCACCAATAGCATTTAGAAGTGACCCTCTGATCTAAACCACATTTTCCTCAGCAGCAGCAGGATGGTTACAATAGTAAGTTTTGTCAGGGCAAAACTTCCCCTCTACAAAAGGATAATGTCCAGGAAATTTTAGAGACTGGGATCCTGAAAATCACCAAGAAACATACCCATGGTCCATTATTCTCTGTGGCCTATGTACTTAGGTGGTAGGGCTTTACCTGCCAGGTAGAATAGAGAGATCATATTACTACCACCTGTCACAGCACCAGATCCCTTCTCAGCTGACCTGACACACTTCCAACGGAGCTGTAATGATCTCATGAAAAAAAAAAACAAAAATCTTCCTCCTGCTCCAGTTCCTATGAAAGATAATCTCAGCCCTGTTTTAGATCATCTGGTTCTCAAATAAAAAAGACGAAAGCATCTTGCTAACATTCAGACCTTTTGACACCCAGCTTTCTTTGCTCTTAGAGGCGATGGTTCCCTTCTCAGCTTTCTATTTAACTTGCTACTTCTTCATTTGAGAGCAGAATTTTACTATCCCTTGGAAAGACTTGCTACTTCAGAAACTTTCCCCAACTCAGTCCGTTAACTGAGTTGATGGCAGAATTGCTCTCTGGTTCTTGATAATAATTCAGGGATGACTCTGGGGGAATAACGAGATCATTCAATGAATCTAACCAAGAGCTAAAATAGCAGCCCAGCATGGCCATTCTGGACTCCTCTATCAAAAAAGCACACCACCAATCTAAACAGTTAATACAGGAAAGATGCAGGGAAAGTTTGAGTGAACTTTAACACCCGTCATTTTAACAGTTACAACAATAATAATTTTTTTCAATAAACCAGCCACACACACCTGAGAACTTTGACAAGGAAGAGAAGACTTGATAATTGCTGACCCACTGTTCTTCCAATTCAAGCCCTGGTGGTGCAGTGGTTAAGAGTTTAGCTAGTAACCAAAAGTTCAGCAGTTCAAAACCACCAGCTGCTCCTTGAAAAGCCTATGGGGCAGTTCTACTCTGTCCTATAGGATCGCTATGAATCGGAATGAGTAGAAGGGAACGGGTTTGCTTTGGTTTTTGGTTCTTCCAAATGACATCTCTGGTTTGATCTGAATCTGATTTGATGAAGGTCAATGTCTTAAATTCTTCTGCAGTTACCAAAAGAATAAAGGTCATTCATTTTTCTGCTGCTCTGGTCACTCCATGCCCAGTTCCATCCCCTCCCCATGCCCGTTTATACACATGCAGAGGACAAAATAAACGTCAGCAAACACTGCCTGAGTAGCTTAAAAGCAAACTGCTGATAGTACTGGGAGAGCAATGAAAGTAAAAGGTAGCTGACAGTCCTATGTTTCTAAAACGCCACATTCTAAACTGAGGAATCATAAAAAAGCATTTGAATCACTTCCCAGAAGACAGGAGCAATAACCAGGACAGCCGCTTCCAGCGCAGATGAACTGGTAAGCCCACCCACTCCATCATCGTCTGCCAAGAAGAGACCTGGGACAGTGGCAGGAGACATCCCCACAACAAAGAAGGCTGGAACTGAATCCTCAGAGCCTCTGATGGCTCATCTGTTCTCCTTAATGGACAGGGTCACAATAGTTTAGTCCAAAAAAGAGAAAACTGGCTCAAAGCCTCAACTCTGTACATCAACGATCGAGTAAGTAGTCCCAATAGTTTAAAGCTAAGGAACCTGCTAGAAAGCAGCATCTCGTAGCATGGCTCTGCCCAGAGGCAGACTGCCCCACCACACCGCTGGCCCCCTCGCCTGTATCTGGTCAATTTCCTCTTTTCATTTTCCGCTCACCCTTCCCCCAACAAACAGGTTCTGATTTATTTCTCTATTCCCCAGAGCTTCCCCATCTCCAGTCCTCAGTAGCACCCCAGAATCCTGCCAGGGGCTCCGCAGTGTTAAGTTTCTCCCTTTTGCAGCCTTTCAACTACCCCTTCTCCCTCAGGCTATGCGAAGCCCCAAACTCACCCGGACGGGCCCCCAGAATCCCACCCGTCCAGAAGCCAGCGGCTGCGTCTCTATCCCCGCTCTCACCCCCTGAGGGTCCTTGACGAAGTAGCTTCCGCTGGAGCCCTGGTAGATGCGCTCGGGGAAGATGCCGCGCTCGATGGCCAGCTCGGCCTGCCGCACTACCGCTCCGAACTCGGGGTCCTCCGGGAACTCATTCCGCTCGCGATGGGCCTGCGAGGCATGCGCCGCCACCGCGGCCTGGGTGGCCAGGGCTTGGGCCTGCGCCGCCACAGTTTGGGTCTGGCCTTGGGCCGCCGCGCCCCGGGCCCGATCCAGCAGTGGCTGCCGCTCCCGGTCGTGGCCCGGCGATCCTGGCGGAGAGGGGGCCGAGCCGGCCGCAGCCGCCACTCGGACCGCGCCCCCCGGCACCTGCGGAAAGTGAGCGCCCGAGCCCGACGGGAATGTGTAGTCTGGAGGTTGGGCCCGCTCGGGGGACACCAGGGGGCTCGTCTCGTCCATCCCTCAGGCCGCGGGCTCCAGACCCAGGGCGCTCAACACAGCTGAGTTCGCGGCCGGGACCAATCCGCGACACCCCCCACCCCCTGTTTGGCCAACCAGGTCGCGAGGCCTCTTTGGCTCCGCCCCTACCCTTTCCTCTTTTCTTGGAGACGAATAGGCACCGTCCCTCGCTCTCGGCGGGTAACCAACTCCAACGCAATTGCTCCCTCCCCAATTTTCTCGCATCCCCGTCTGTGAAGAGTGCGCATGCTCTAGGAGCCAAACCCGGGTCAGACACGCCCTCTGCCCCCTACCATCCCATGCCCCGCCCTTAGCTTCCAATTGGCTGACCCCACGGTCTTTGGGGGCTTTCAAAACAGGGGTTCGAACTGGTTCGTTCTGGCTGAAACCCCTGCTGAGAATTTGTATTTCTAGTAAGTTCATGAATGGTGCTAATGCTGATGGTTAGGGACCAATTATGAGGATCACTAGTAAATTCAAATCAAATCCGCTGCCATCTAGTCAATTCTGACTCACAGCGACCCTACAGGACAGAGCAGAACTGCGCCGTAGTGTTTCCAAGGCTATAATCTTTAAGGAAGCAGACTGCCACATCTTTCTCCCGCAGAGAGGCTGGTGGGTTTGAACCACCGACCCTTCGGTTAGTAGCGAAGAACTTAACCACTGCGCCACTAGGACTCCTTACTAGTAGAGCAGTGGGTCTCAAAATTTATTATACATAAGAATCACCTGGGGATCTTATAAAAATGTAGATTCTGATTCAGTGTAATTGGGGTAGAAATGCAACTTCTCAGCAGGGGTTCGAACTAGTTTCTTCAATTTGAACTCCTATTTCAAAACAGTAATCTACATAATCAGTCACTCGTTTATTGAGTACCTACTATGAACTGGCTGTGAGAGTGGAGAATAATAATCTTTGTATCCACATTCATTCAATCGTGCATCTGTTCGTTAAATATTTATTGAGCATTTACTGTGTTCTAAGTGCTGGGGAGACAGCAGTGAACAAAAGAAAGAAAATTCCTGCCCTACCTCCATAAAAAGTTTTTAAAAATCCCTGCCCTTGGGCATCTTACACAGTGCCTGGTCCAAGTGCTCAACGCTTATTTGTTAAACGAAGAAAGATACGTTTCGTAAAGTTCCACAAGATAAAAGGCAAAGACTGTTGTCATCGCCACTGTAACCTCAGTGTCTAGACACAGTGGGTGTTCAGTACATTTTTATTAATAGAAGGAAGCCATAATCTCTGTCCTCAAGGTGAGGACATACAGCTATCTGAGGCAGTTATAGAAAAAGAGCCAAGAATATGAGCTGAAAACGCTATAATCGGAGTTCACTGATTTGGGAATGGGGCTGGAGGGTTAGCAAAGGCCTTAAGTGGGGCATGTGCTATGAGCCTTCGTAAAAGAAGAATGTGATTGGATTACCGCGGGAAGGGAAAAGAGGGAAGAGAAGAGGGCACACCAAACTGAGGGAGTCGCCTGAGGAAAGGGAAAGGTTAGCGCACGTAGAGAACAGATAGTAACCTGCTTGATTCAAGGGGAAATGGGCTTGGGCTGACGTTACAAAGGGCCTGAAAAGCCACACAAAGAGGATACTTGGCATCTGAAGGGCCACGGAGAACTTTAGAGAACAGCTTTCAAACAGGGAAATGATGTAGAGTGGGACAACTCTGGAACCAGGCACCAGGAAGTAACTCTAGAATAAATATGGGTAGCATCTGAAGGAGGATGCATAACTGGAGTAATTACATATTTAAATCCGTGGAATACCGTTTCAGTCAAAAAATTTTTTTAATGTAAATTATGGACTTTAGCTAATAATAATGTATCAGTGTTTTTTTAATTGTGCTGTAGATGAAGGTTTACAAAGCAAATTAGTTTCTCGTTAAATAATACGCATATTGTTTTGTGACACTGGTTGCCAACCCCACGACGTGTCAACACTTCCCCTCTTGAACTTGGGTTCCCCATTTCCATTCGTCCAGCTTTCCTGTCCCCTCCTGCCTTCTCATCCTTCCCCTGGGCTGGTGTGCCCATTTAGTCTCATATACATGGTTGAGCTATGTATATTATGGTTTGTTTTGGGGCCTGTCTAATCTTTGGCTGAAGGGTGAACCTCAGGAGTAACCTCAGAGTTAAAAGAGTGTCCGGGGGTGTTTCAGTTAAAATTTTATACTAACACTACCTTCTAAAGTTTGCAGTACAATGGTTACAAGCGTGGGCTTAGGAATCAGAGAAATTTGAGTTTGAATTCTGGTTCCCCACTTATTTTGGACAAGTTACTTAACCTCTTGAAGTCTCCGTTTCTTTATCCGTAAAGTGGGAATAATCATTCCTACCTGCCTTTTGTGTCCCAGGGGCCGTAGCCACGGTGGTGATCTCTTGGTATCCTTCATCTCGTTTAGCCCCTGAACTTCAGATTATGGACATGGAATAGGTCCTAGATTTAAAGTTCTCCCTTGAATTCTAAGTTTTTTTCTCTGTGGAAAACCCTAAGTTCTACTTCTTAGGACTTGATTTCCTCTTACTGAAAAGAGTGAAAATACACTTTCTAATTGGAGCCTTGGTGGTGCAATGGTTAAGCCTTTGTCTGCTAACCAAAAGGTCGGCAGTTTGAATCCACCAGCCGCTCCTTGGAAGCCCTGTGGGGCAGTTCTGCTCAGTCCTGTAGGGTCACTGTGAGTCGGGATCGACTGGACGGCAATGGGTTTGGTTTTTTTGGTTTAATACATATGACGAGCCCTTGTGGCGCAGTGGTTAAGCACTCGGCTGCTAACTGAAAGGTCTGCAGTTCGAACCCACCAGCCCCTCTGAGGGTCTACTTCTGTAAAGATTTACAGCGTTTGAAACCCTATGGGAAAGTTTTACTCTATCCTACAGGGTTGCCATGAATTGGAATTGACTCAACTTCAGTGGGTTTGGTTTGGTTTGGAATGCACATGAAGCTCTAACGTTTACTGAATGCTAAACATGTGCCAAACATTGTTCTAAGCGCATTACATAGATTAACTCATATAACCAGCATAACAACCCCTATGACGTTGGAAACTGAGTCTTAGGGGGGTAAAGTAACTTGCTCATGGTTACACAGCTGATAAGTGGCAGAGATGGATCCCTGTCCAGGTAGACTGACTCCATGCTTTTAACACTATATTGCTTCTTGCTAAAGATCCGTGTAAGATGTGTGTCATAGTCACCTCTTTTCTTACCATTTCCATTAAGGCCACATTAGTTTTGAGCCTCTCTCACGTTACAGCTATATTCATACAATAACTTTTCAGTTTGTTTCTCTGCCTCCAATGTCTTTCTCTGATTCTCTCTGAGTATCACTGCCAGATTAATTTTCTTAAAACACTGGTTTTATTATGTCAGTCCTCTAATCAAGGAATTACATTTTGCAAACCACATCTCCTCCCTAATTTTGAGATCCTTCCATAATTTGGCCTCAGCCAACCTATTTAACCTTACGTTTAAATAATTTATAATACATATTCTCCAATTTAATAGGATCTGTTTCCTTGACACTCCATTCTCTCAACTGCAGTTATACCTATAGACAATACTACACAGTTTAGCATGTATAACCATTGAGGGTTAGAGCTGAATTGAATCTTCTAGGTCTGCTACAGTATTCCAATCTCATTTTATAGGCAAGAGAGTTTAATAAGTTGCTCAAAATCACACACAGTTGGTGGCAGAGCTGGGATTTGAACACAGAGTCCAAGTCTTTTTAACTTCTTTAAAACTACTGTTTATCAAATACTTTGTCTCAGACACACTACTGAGCATTTTCCATTGTATTCTCATGCCAGTCCTATGGAGCCTTTGCCATTATTATTATCATTTTCCATTCTACAGATGAGGAAACCCGAATTTAGAGAAGCAATTTGCTTACTCTTTTCATGTGCTTGCCTTCTCTTAATAATTATAGTCTTGGATTTTTCCATGTACATGAATCTTTTCTTCTTCACATCCAAGCAGTAAGCCCCATGAGGGCAGCGACCACGTCTCTTCTAGTCTGAAAAAACCTAGCACCGTGCTGCACTCACATTGTTCAGTAAATAAAGATATAGATAAATGGATTGATGTGCATGGTATTTGGGTGGATTTGTCCCAATCTTGGCACGCATTTTAAACACAAAAGATCTGGGTAGTAACAGCGACAACAAAAATCCCTATAATGAATGCAAAAGTGCCCTCATATTACAGTGTCTGGCACAGGGTTGACCGTCGATGTCCTGTCCAGCGCTTTTACAATTGACTCTAGAGCAGGATCTAACCCCTGTCAAACTCCGGGACCGGCCCTTTACAACAGTGGGGATCGGAGCAGGATCGGAGCCACTTAAGTTGCGGTCACTGTTGCTTCCGACACAGGCCTTGTTTTGTCTGGGGTTAAAGTTTCGACTAGCTGTTCCTGGGTGGGCGTGACCTGGTTATCAGGTTTCCATTTGGGGACAGCCCCACCTCTCTTTCAGCTATGTAGCGCTGATCTCGGAAACACTCTGCCCCGCACAAAGATGGCTCAGCGCCTGGGATGGACCAATGGGGAGTGGCGTTGCTCCCGGTTGCCTAGGTAACAGCCAATGGGCAACGGGAATTGTGCCCAGTGTGGCTTCCTGGGGGATGGCGGCGTCAAGTGGGGCAGGCACTGGTAGAGGTTGTGGAGAGCACAGTGTTTGGGGAGAGCTCCACTGAGCAAAGGTCCGGGCCGCTGGAGCCCCGCGCCGGGGCGCGACAGTTATCCCGGAGGGCCGAGCCCGGGTTGGCTGGCAGCGCAGGTGGGAGAGGGCCAGGAGAATGGGATGGGGTGGGTCAGGGACTGAAGCGCCAAGCAGGAGAGAAAAGGCTCTGGGGAGCGCGGCTTCATGCCAGGCGGCCGCCCGTGGGGGTCCCAAATCCGGTCCTACGTTCTTGACCGTGGAGGCTGAGGCCCGGGAGAACCCACGGCACCTGGGTTAGCATGCGGATAGTGTGGGGGCTGCGTCGGGAGGGACTGGCAGACCTGTGTGACCAGAGTACCCGGCTGGGACGGCAGAGAAGACCCG